CCTGCCGTCCAAGCCGGGCTACGACTCGCGCGACGACCGCGAACGCTCTCCCCCACGCGGCGGTTCGCGCGACGACCGAAGCTACCGCCGCGAACGCAGCCCCTACCGCCGAGACGAGCGTCGCCAAGACAACGGCTACCGCAACCGCTACTAACCCCCCCAACCCCCCCTTTACCGCCGTGTACATCTCACCGTCTTACTTTCAAAACATTCTTAATGCCGCAATTCAAAATCATGGTCAGTCTGCACGAGGCAGCTTGGCTTGTATTGGGAGACGAGACTACTTAGCGTCACTATTGGCGAGTTTAACGGCCTTGTCGAGCTGCTTCTCGATATCGAGGCCGATGAGCACATCGAGCGTACGCACGAACCACCAGCGTCCACACTCTGCCTCTTCGCCCTCGTCATGCGCCTCGTCGAAGGGGAATCCCACATGCTCGGCCACACTCTTGGCGAGCACCTGTGCCGCATGTGCTGTGCCCTTCTTCAGGTCCTTGTCGTCCAAAAGGCCGAAGCGGGCAGCTGCGTCGAGTGCGCGCTGGTCTGCAAAGGGGAATACCTGGTGCCACTGCGCCTGCATCCGGCGCAAAAAGATGTCAACACCTCCGGGACCCAAGCCGTTCACCTGCGCAGTGAGCACCTTCTTCACTTGCTCTGCGACCGCCTCTGCATCCTTTGCATCACAGTTCTCCAGCGCCTGATCCAAAATCGGCTGGAGGGTGTCTGTAGCATCTTTGCCCTTTCCTTCGCAAAGAGCCGTAACTCCTTCGGCGAGACTTCCAAGCTGGGTGGCCGTCTTCTCCTTGTGCTGCGTGCGTGCCTCCCACAGCGCCGCCCGTCGACCTTCGTTGCCCGCGTCCAGCAGGTCCTTGGCAGAGCGGAAGAAGTAGGGCTCGTTGAGCAGCGTCTGGATCGCACGCAGGCCGAGCGTGTGCGAGATGGGCTTGCTCAGCAGCATGCCACACATCAGCGTCTGGAAGCCACTCAGGTCCGAGTTCGGGTAGCCCAGCTCTCCGCCTGCGCCCGCATCTTTGCGCGGGTTGGTGTAGGACGCTGGCGGGTCGCGCGCGGTGTCGCCGCCTTGGTCGGCGGTATCCTGCTCGCCTTGGCCAGAGGGAATGTCGGGGTGGGCGAGCGACCAGGCGGTGTTCGAGTGCAGCCAGGTGAGCGCATCGCCGTGCGCCTCCAGCTCCTTCTGCTGCTCATCCAACGCCGAGGTCTTGGTGCGCTTCGATGCGGGTTCGGAAGCAGACGCGCCGGGCTCCGACTTGGTTGCGGGACTGCTGCGCTTGGTTCCCTGATCGGAGGCGTCGCCGTCGTTGTGCTGCTTTGCGCTGCGTGTAGAGACCATGTTGAAGCGATGTGGAAAGTAGAAGGAAGATGGGTGCCGATGTGATGGTGAGTTGACAAACCTCTAGATGGGAAGACACGCCCAGCGAAATGGGCACCGACGGCGAGGACGGATCGAGCATGACGCCGGCGCCTTACTCATCGTGAGCTCGGCTGCGGGGTGAAGAAGGCCCAAATGACAGGCGGCCCGCTTGCATGCAGCTGTCAGCTTCGGCCACGCCGCGAAGAGCATCGCATGTGGAGGCGCAACAAAGCAGATGTTACACCGCATTTGATAAACAAAAATGCCACGGACACACTGACAGCCTAACAGCGGAGAACCGGCGCGGCATGCACGGCAACGCAGCGTCGATCCTCGACCTGCAGATGAGACGTGGACAGGGGCTTGCTGCCCAAACCGCGTCGAGAAATGCTCCGGTGCGGCAAAGCCATCGTCGGCCCCTGTCGGATGATGCCGACCACACGGATGGCGCACGAGCCCGAAGGTCGCTCGCCTGACAGCATGCAGCGGGTGGAGTCTCGACTGGACGCACGGGTAAGAAGACGGGCCAACGCAGCTGCACGACTGCCACCGCCATTGGCACGCAGCCATGCGGGGAAGGCTTCAGTACAATAACGCTCGACGGAGCAAATGGAGCGAGGCGAGTCGAAAGCGTGGCGCAGGGTCGGCGAGGTCAGTCGGATGGTTTGGTAGAGTGCATGGTGAACCTGCAAGCTGCAGAACGCGCACCGCAGCCTCGCCTAACCGCCACGCCTACCCGCACGCCAGATGTCACCTGTAACTTTAGCCTCTCGCTCCGGTCATGACTCCCGACCTTCTTTTTCTTCCGACGCTCCGACCACCTCGCTAGACGCACACCTTAATATGCAGTATCACAAGGAGGCAGAGTGGGCCTATTCACCTTTGCCCGTCGCAAGTGAGATCTCGGGACACGTCACATTTGACTGGTTTCACACTGGCACATTGGCCAGCCTCGACACTTCAGGCTGGCGCGGGACCATGCTGCAGTGATTCGGGAGAATAGACCCGAGCGCGGCATGATGGGATCGACGAGTGCAGGTGGGTTGGGGCGATGGTCGACGATGGTTGGTTGCGTTGGCTTGCTGAGCGAGACAAAATTCGGATGCTCAGGGGCTGGTGTGAGTCGGGAGCGCCTAGCCGCCAAAAAAAAGAGGTTCGAGAACCAACCGATCCAGCGGTGGGAGGCCCCTTTCTGGGCTCCTTTTTCTCCACAGCCACCACCGCACTGGGCAGGCGGGAGAGTAGTGTGTTGATTTCTGCCGAAAAAAAAAGGACAGAGGGGGCAGAGTCACGTAGCGCTGCATACACGCGCATCCACCCAGCTCAGCCTACACACGCGCGGCTAGGCGGTTGGCGAGTGTGGTAAATGCGCCCTTTTTCCGCCAAAAAAGAGGCTTGAAGCTTGAGCCACGCAGGGTCACTCAAAGGGTCGTCGGGGCGGCGCGGCGTGGCTCAACTCGACTCGACTCGGCTCGGCCGGTCAGGTCAGGCAAGGCGGCAGGGCAGCGCGCGGTAGACCAACACTTGGCAAAATCCACACACCCGGACAGTCCAGCCCGTGCCAGTTCAGCCCACACACAGACTCAAAGCAAAGCCGCCTTTGCTTTTTGTATGCTCGGCCCTGCTCGGTCTCGTTGTCATCATCCCTCGATTGCCCCTCCCATCTCCCATCCTCCTCTGTTCGCCATCTCCACCGTTCGCATCGCATCTCTCTTCTCATCGCACGCGCATCTTGCCATCCTCGCATCGATACCCAGCCCTAAGGCTCTCGCAACGCAACGCAACGCAACACGACGCATTCTAGCAAAGCCACCACGCTTCAGCTACTGCCCTCCATCCCTTGACGCATTGTGACCGGCCAATCTGTACAGCAACATC